ATCCACACATGATTATTCACAACTTCTAAGTTAACGTATTCTAAACCGATGTCCTTCCCCCCTCCCCGGAAAGTTATATTTGTTTAAAACTCTTTGTTTAAACACTTGGCTTGCAGGTGGGGAAATATTGCTCATGCTTTGTTATGAAGGCAGTATAATTCAGCTTCTCAGGCCTCTGTGCAAAAGCTTGAACTACTGCCATTTAACAGGGGGGATTTTCCACTTTGCTTTTTACTGAGCATCTCTACAGTCTGAAGATGGACCTTGTCACTGCCAAAGCGCACCTGGTAAAAGCTGATATTTTTCCCTCAGCTCTGGGTCTGGCATGGGCTAGAGCAGCTGCTAAACCTGGTTCTTCTTGACATCAGAAGTTCAGAATAAATCTCCCGAGTGACACCATATGCACTCTTTTTCCAAATCTTGTTGGTTGTCTCCTTTGCTGTCTTTAAAGCCTGATTCAAATGGAGACACCTGAAGCTGGGGAAGGACTCTCCAGGGGTTTCAGCAGGCTTTAGGGAGAAGTTGATGTACAAGGTGGATAAGGCACCTGAATGGGAGATGTAATTGTTATCTTTGGTTTAGGATACTTGTGCTTCTCCTTTCCTATCTGGAAATAATTAACTATGTCTTTATTGTGAAAAACTTCAAGATCTGTTGATACAAAGTACTAGAGAATGCTTGTGTGTTGTTACCATTATTGTTTTGTGAGAGATTTTTAAAGAGATCTTTGAAAGATCATCATTAACACAACAAAATATTGGAGGAAAAGTAGCTCCTTTATCTCCAACCTTGATGAAAGGGGTAAGCAAATCCCAAATCAGATCTGCTGCTATGGGTCACTGAATGGCAGAGTCTGCGCGGAGTATGGGATGCATCTGTCTGCTTGTTTAAAAAATTAAAATCCACTCATCTTCTAGAAGGTTATTTTATCCCTGTGCTCAAGTGCTGTAACAATCATTTGTGATCTACCTCGAGGAAACACACAACTGAAAAACAGGTTTGGAAATGGAAAGAAACAACAGAGGGATAAACAATTTTTATCTAAACCAAAGCAAAAAGTTTTCCTTAGACAACACGATGCATCACCCCGTGGCTGTTGGTAGATGGCAGCCTCTGTCCTTGCACGCAGAGGCGCTGGAAAATATTCCAGCTGCCTGCAAATGCTCTCACAGGCCTGTGTGCTCCCACCTGCTGATACCAAAGCTCAGCAGGAGGAGAAAGAATTTGCCCGTTTGTGGCAATAAGTTTCAGAAGCAATTCCAAACACAATGCAGCTTAGAGCTAATCATGAACGGGCTTGACTGCATTAATTGAGTGTGTTATAGCATGGATTTAGGAGATAGCTGCTGTTAGGGTATGTTTCCAGTTGATAAGTATAGGCAAAAGCCTTGCTGACATCTGGTTCACCGGGGGTCTTATCCTGGCATTTCAAGCAGGCTGTGCTGAGGCCAAGTGGTTTTTCTCTGGTGGCAGGATAAAACTGGGTGTGTTGCTGCTGTGTTTCTGGCTGGAGCTGTGCGAGCCCACCCTGCTGATGACTCATCCTTGGAGTGGCTCAGAATATCACACTGCCTCGCTGCCTCCCTGTTCCTATTGCACTGATGCATTTGGGTCTCGCACGGTGTTGGCGTTTCATTTATAAACCTCTCTTTTCCCATAAAGGAAAGATGGCTGCCAGCCCTTCTTTATCCTGATGTTCAGCACTTTTAGGTGTTTTTCTGAGCCTTTCCTGAATGACTTCAGATGGAGATTTAAAAGCAGAACAACCAGACACATTAAGCACCTTAGAAAGCACATTTTTCAGAATTTAATTGGGGGTTTTGGGGAACCTGGCCTTTTTTTTTTTTCCCTTCTAAATATGGCTGCTTCTGCACATGATTCAGACTAAATTTTCCCTTTTCTCCCAACAAGCACTGAATCAGGAGCCTTAGACCAGCAAAAGGGACCTGTGTTCCTTCCCTGCCACCCTGTTTTTGAGTCCATGCATTTCAGCACCGGAGTTTATAACAGTGAATGGAATAAGATAAGCACTGAAACAGATTTACAGGTCTCTGTTTCCCTCTCCCTCACTTACAGAAAACCTGATGGTTCCACTAAATCAGGTATGGACATGCCTTGAAGTTAAAGCATTGCCACAAAAGAAAATGGATATGAATAAATCTACCTCTTCCTAATTTTTTTTTTGGTTGGTTTTGTGAACCAGATGTTCCAGGTGACACAAAAATGAAGACACCGACAGCTATAAAGAAGTCATGAGGTAAGACACCAAAAGCTGCAGTGGGTTTTGCAAAGACAAACTGATGGACTTTTAGGCAAGAAGGTCTGTGCACTGGCACTTGCTCTGGCAGCACATGGGGGGCCACACCCATGACAGGGGCCATCCATCTCAGGCCAGTGCTGGAAGCAGACCCTTGTCATGTGTCACCTTAAAAAACTACAGTAGAAAAGAGAGATGCAGTGAGGACTGATCATCTTGACTTTGTTTTTCAGAGCAGTGCAGGTCAGTGCTGGTGAACACACCTCCTTCCATGTCCTGGTTGCACCACATCGGCTCGGATTTACTAGAAATGAGTTTCATTTTGTTAAGTAACATAAGAATCACGAAGAAAACCCTCTCCATTGTTCTTACCAATAAACACAGGGTCAGAATCGCTGCTCTTAGTGTAACTGAGACAAACATATTATTGCAGAACCCCAGCAGTCCGGGAGCAGAGCTCAGCCTTCTACTCCCTGCACTCAGCCACATTTAAGTTCTGTGACTCCATTTCAATGCAAAGTTACCCAGCTGAGTAGAAATAACCCCTGTGGCAGCAGCACACCCAGAGCTCGATTGCTGCCCCTGTTTCTGTGTAACTGTGCCTTTTGGTTGCCAGGATCATGGAGAGCTGTGGAGCTGCACCGTTCATGAGCACTGGGTAGCTCCGTGGGATTCTCGAACTCCAGAGAGATCTGTCGTAACTCTTTCGATAAATATATTTACTCTTTCAAGAAGTAAATATTTGAAAGCATACAGGACAACATCAGCATGCTGGAGTCATACTTTTGTCCCAGGGGGTGACACTGCAGGTGGCTCCGTGCATCTAGAGGTACACAGAGATATCAGATAAAAGAGGAGCAGTAGAGATGTCAGGGGCACGTGCTGAATTCCAACTGCAGCTCAAACTTGAGACCTGCAAGATCTGCCATCTTCATTTAGGCACCTCTGTAAAAGTTACTCACCAAACACAGTCACTGCTCCCTGTGGAGTCTCCCGTGAAGGTAAATCCCTCCCCACTGAGCAGCCTCATCCCGAGATGTGGCAGACACAGTGATACCCCATTGCTGTCAGCAGAAGTTGAACTTGCTGCTGCAGTGAGTGGTGCTCCACAAAATGGGCACTTAGACACGTGCCTTCATTTTTCCTATGGAAAGAGGAGTTTCTTGTAGCAGTTAAAAACATTCTGTATAATAAAAATTGTCTTCCAGCATCGGCCATGTTGTGATGTTGGTGTTGTCCTTGTCCTGACCATTAGTGGGAGGCTGGGCAGGAATGTGAGATGCACTTACAACCTGAGCATAATTTTCTGTGTCCAAGCAAGCACCAGTGCTTGCACAGAAGTGTTCAAACAACAGGCAGGGCAGATGGTCCTTAGGAGCCTCCTCTCTGTGCTAAGGCTCTGGTTTCCAGGAAGCAATTTCTCCCTCAAGAATTATTTAATCAGAGAAAAATCTTCCGGTACTTACAGACACAACTGCTGCTGTATAGAACTTGGCATTACAGAGAAAGTAACCACAACATGGCACAGCTCTGGAGGCCAAACATTTTCTGAAGCAAAAGGAGAGAGATGTGGAAGATTGTACATAGCAGTGCCGCCCGCTATGCACAATAACTTTCAAAGTTCAAACCTTTGGCACTTAATCAGGTACAAAAGGCATTTATTATAGCAATTTTACCCTAATGCCCTAGGTATTATTCATGAAATGCATTTCCCATTCATTTCCTATATTCAGAAAATGTGTTCTAGACAGTCTGCAAGTTATGCTATTGCAAGTCATTTCTGCCTGGCTGTGGAAATGGATCGGTACAATAAAAAAAGAAGAAAAAAGTAGTGTCTGTGCTCCACTTACAAGAAGGTGCACATTAATTTGATTTACTTCATGTGGATTTAATCAATGCAAATACAGATGGGGGAAGAGTGTCAGTGGGAGTAATGGGTCGTTTTTATCCTCTTTCTTTGCTTGACCTGCTGAATCGATCTACCCCGTTGCTAGGAAAATCAGAATCAAGCTGACACGGGCATCTGTGCTACACAGACAGAAGAGAATTTATGTTGTAATCCAGCGCTTAACATTCACAAACTTTCCACAAGTGGCTGATGTCTCACACAGCTGCTTGCAACGGTGAAAACAATGGTGCAGCAGAAGAGATGGGATTCCCTCGGGTACTTCCCGGGGGGGCTTCTGAGATCCCAGGAAAGCCGAGAAGCCCGTGCCCCGGCCCGAGGAGAGGGGCGAGGGCAGGAAGAAGTCTGCGGGTGTCGGCGACCCCTTCCCATGGGAACGAGCCTTTGCGGGGCGGTGACGAGCACGAAGACCGGGGCGGGGGAGCCCTGGGGACCCCGGGCAGGGCAGGGGAGCCCCGAGCCGGGCCGGGACCGCCGCCACCGGGTGGCGTCCGGCAGCAGGGCTGCGGCGGGACCGGGGCCGCGGGGAGCTCCGCACATCGCTCCGCACATCGCTCCGCGCATCCCAGCGCATCCCAGCGCATCCCAGCGCATCCCAGCGCATCCCGCGCATCCCAGCGCATCCCGCGCATCCCAGCGCATCCCGCGCATCCCAGCGCATCCCGCGCATCCCCAGCGCCCGACACCCACCCGCGCCCTCTCTGTCCGGCCCCTGTCCGAGCCCCTGCAAGCGCTCTCGCCCTCCCCGTCCCCGGGGACGCTGCGCGGGTGCGGAGCCGGTGCCGGGTGCGGCGGGGCCGCCCCAGGACTACAGGTCCCGGCGTGCCCGGCCCCGCGGAGCCGGCGGCGGGGCGGGGGCCGGCGCCTGCGCGGGGCTGCGGGGCCGCTCCGCGGTGCCACACCCCCGGGGGAGGGAGGCAGGAGCGCCCGAGCCCTCAAACCACCGGGGGAGCCGGCGGGGCGGAGGATGGAGTAGCGGGGCGCGGCGGTGCGGGGAGCGCCGCCTCCGCCCGGGGAGCGGGGAGGCAGGCGGGGATGATGCGCGGGGGGATAACGCGCTAGGGGCAGGAGGCGGGTGGTCGCCCGGAGACTCCGCACCTCGGAGTGACGTCCTGCTGCAGTGCCGCTGCCTGCGCTGCCCGAGCTCGTCAATGGAGCTGGAAAACATCGTTGCCAACACCGTTTTGCTGAAAGCCAGGGAAGGTGAGAGAGCGGCGGGAGGGGAGAGGGGGCTGGAGCATCCTTGTCGCAGTCGCCCCTCCGCGGAGCGGTGCCCGCGGGATGCGGGCGGGCACCGGCGGGGATGCGCGCCGGTCCCGCCGGCGGCGGCTTTCGGGGTGCCATGTGGCTGTGCCGGTGTTACAAACGGCTTGTTGGAGGCAGAGTCCCGGTGGAAAGGAAAATACCGCTTTTTCCCTGTGCTCGGGGGTTTGGGAAAGGAAGTGAATGAGATTGCAGAGATTACAATATTCACCCATCTCTTCCTTCCCCCTTCCCGCCCCCCCTCCTCAAATCTGGTCCCACAGATTGTGCTATTTCAGCGTCTATTGTTAAAGGTCAGCTGCAGATGCATTCATTCAAAAGGGTTTAGCAAATCTGCAAATAGCTTTCCGCGCCGTGTGGTGAGACCGGCAGGATCGTATCGCTTCCCCGTGCAGTCATTGCCTTATTCGGCGTTATTAGGTGAGATCATGTTGCTGCAAACATGCCCATTGTTGAGAGCCTGTTTGTCCCCAGCCGGAGCCGGGCAGAGGGGCTGGGGGGGGCTCAGCGGGTGCCCCAGAGAGCCGGGGGGTGGCCGGGCGAGGGTTGTGCCCGGCGGCAGCCGCCGCGCTCGGGCAGCGGGATGGGATGGAATAGGACGGAATGGGATGGGATGCTCCGGGCGATGCCGGAGCCGCCGCCGTTCGGCGCCCTGAAAACACGCTGGGGTGCCGGCTGCGGGCTCCGCGAGCATCCCCGTCCTGCCCCCGAGCTCCCGCAGAGCCGATGCCCAGTGACCGCCGGCGGATCGGGCTCACGGGGCTCTTTCCCCCCCAGTCGGGAGCGGACGCGGTTTCCTCTCCCCGCGCAGGCGGGTATCTCCCCGCGGCCGCGGGGCGCTGGGCGCGGCGGGGCCGGGGGCTCAGGGCTCGCCCCGGCTCCCCGCGGAACCCCCGTCCGCCTGGGAGCATCCCTCCGGCTGGAGGGGGAGCGCCACGCATAAGCAACACGTCCTACGGATGCGGCATCGCTGCCAAGACGCGAGCGCTTTCTGTCTGTTCCAACCCGGTTTTGTGTTTGTATTTATTTACTTGCTTACTGCTTAAAATAAGGCATATTTCCAAGCCCTTGCTCAGGCTTTCTTCGCTGAAAGCACTTGCTAGACTGAGCGATTTTAGGTGCCGTACAACCTGCAGCCTGTTTTCCGCTGTCCTCCCGAGTGCTGGAGCTGCCTGCGAGCGTGGCTGGGCACGGCTCGGGTGGGCTTTAGGCTTCGGTCGCTCCTGAAGCTGTGGAAGTACGAGTAAGGCAGCATTCATTTCGTAGAAGAGATCGCTCAGATAGTCCTCCCCTGGAGTGCTCCTTTTGCTGGGAAAATAGTTCAAATTGTAAAATAATGTTTATATAACTCCTGGGCTGTTGAACTTGCGAGGCTTAGCTAAAGAGTAAAGTCCTGAGATCCTCCCAAAGAAGCTCTACAGATATTAAGGGCAAAGGTGTTATCCCGTTCAGCAGATGGGTGAATTATACCTTTCTGACTTCTGATGGAGAATTTTTATCTTCTGTTGTAATTTTTAATACTGTTTAGGATGCAGTTGTTGCTACCAGCCATACAATGCTGGTTTAGATTTCGGTAGACTTTAGGAATACTTTAAAGGACTGGTATTAATTACACTTATTGTGTGTTATTTAGAGAGAGACAATATTTTGCAAGTAATTTTAAATGTGCCACTCGGTTTTACAATCTTTTTCTACCATCCTCAGGAAGATGGTTACAGTAATGTAGTCTTATTATGTTAAAGTCTTATTAAAGAAGCCCTTAGCTATAATCCAAAAGGCAGAAAATTATCAAGATTTACTCCAAACTGCATTCCAACTGTTCTTTAAACCACGTATGAACCTCCAGCAACATTTTTTGGAGGCCTGGTGCTAATTTATTTTTAAAGCTTTTTTAGAGGGGATGCGGAATCTTTTTAAATGAAGAACAAAGGGCAAGTGCTGTACCTGACATCAGAGCCACAAGTGTTACACCTGCATTGAGTGTGTTGCCACACTTTTAGTTATTGTTGCCAGGTGCTGTGAGTAAAGTGGTTTTAAAATTTGCAGGGAGTAATGTAGGTGGTTGTCATTGCAGACGAAGAAGACAGACAGCATATGGAAGACCAGGAGTAAAAGCAAGTTAATATATTGAGGATTATGGTATCCAAAAATAAGTTTGTTCCAGGTCCTGCAGACTCCATCAATAGATTTAGCTGGGTGAACATGTAGCCAAAGCCAAGTATGTGCATGTGTGTTTCCACTTGTTAAGTCAAAAGTAAAAGCTCAGCTGCTTGGTGCTTAATGTCAGAAGAAGGAAAATGGTGGGATCTACTCTGCAAATGGTAGTAAAAGCAGAAGTTTTGTCACAATTGCAAGGGGAGCACGAAGCCATTGTCAGCAGCAAAAGGGAAATTTCAGGTTGGTTTCAAAAGGACATTCAGGTAGACCTGCAATGTAAAGTCCAGCAGTGTGGACGTTTATGAGGGAATCAGAAGGAGGGCTGAATGACCACCACAAATGTTTTATAGCAAATATTGGTTTAAATTTTGCAATTCCTTTGCTTTGGCCTTGGTAGCGACTTCCCTTCCCCCCCCCCCCATGTTCTCTTTTGTAAGTTCCTTCACCCCTGATGGAGAGGGAGCTTTTTAGCTGAAATACCAGGAGGCAAGTTTTATAACTGTTATGCAAATACTTGCACTTGAATCTGATGATCACAATGAGAAGCACACCCAGAATTAAATGATGCCATGTCATACATGAGTAATCTTATTAGAGCAACAGAAAGAGTAAATGCAGTTCACACACAAAAAATGTATTTCAGTGAATAATTTTGAGCAGAGAATAAATTTCAGGAAATTTTAATACTTTTGCAGAATATGAGGCTTTTGAAACAAAATTACAGATAATTTACTGAGAAGTCTGCCAGTCTGAACATGCAAAAAATGGAGTTTTATTGCATTTGAAAGTTCATTCATTATTTATTAAGCTTAAATTTATGCTGTTTCTTCAATTATAATTTCTCATTTCTTGAATGCAAAATCCCATTTCACAAATCACTACTCTCTTTTTGGACTGACTAGAAAATACATCTGGTTTAATTATGGGAACCAAATAGGTATTTGGGAACTATCTCGTGTTGCCTGGGGAAAAGAATAAGCAGAGAAGGAAGACAAGAAAGATGAGAGTCATAAAAAGAAAATCAAAATAATAACCATTGCAGTCATTTTGGGTTGAGTAAGAATCCCAAATTATGAGGTGGTGAAACATTTATCTGGATCCTCATAGAATCAGAGAACAGAAAAGACCTCAAAGCTCATCTCATTCCACCCCCTGCCATGGACAGGGACACCTTCCACTAGCCCAGGTTGCTCCAAGCCCCATCCAGCCTGGCCTTGGACACTTCCAGGGATGGGGCAACCACAGCTTCTCTGGGCCACCTGTGCCAGGGCCTCACCACCCTCACAGTCAAGATTTTCTTCCTAATGTCCCCTCTAAACCTGCCCTCTGTCAATGTAAAGCCATTTCATTGGCCTTTCTGTTCATTAGCCTTCTTGTTCCTGAGTCTCAGCAATAGTACCTGAGCCCCAGGATCATCTCTCCAGGAATAATGGAGATACACCACACTGCCAGCTGGGAATCCAGGCTGGGGAATGAGTCCCAGTCCATTTTCCCAGTTTATGGTTGTTTAACAGAGGGCATCATCAGAAACAAAGAACCAGGAGAGACCAAGAACTGAGTCTCCCAACATTTCAGAGGAACTTTAACAGCCCTAGTCCAGAGAAGCTTTAAATCATATCCACAGGGTCATGAATCTCCTCTTGCATGTCAAAACCAATAAAAAGACAAGCCTTTCAAAGAGGCTGGTGATTAAACTGTAATGTTTGTATGAAAAATAAACAACATGGTCAGAAAAGCCTGACCAAGGTGTGGTGATTACCTGGATACTCTTCCTCGGGAACCATTCCTTCCTAGCCATGGGATCAGCCTTCCCTCCTGTTACCTTCAGCTTCTGGGGAGTGTGAGCTTTCTCAGACAAACTGAAACACATTTCAAAACACAAATACAGCTTGACTCTGAAATTGCAAAATCCTTTACGAGTTTGTACAAACAGACAGACAATTGTCACCACTTAAAAGTTTTAATAGGAACTGTGATGCCTGATTTAGTTATTAGTTTTAAAGCAGCCAATTTGGAAGATAAACAATTGTTTTTCTCAGACTTGGAGTTTCTAAAGCTCAAAGTTTACCATGTGAAAGGAAAAAAATCCTCCAACCAGTAAAACACAATGCAAATGCTTTTTTTTCCCTTTTTAGGTAGGCTGGAATTCTAAAATAAGCTTATTTATGGCACCCAAACAGAGCCCTTGATTGGCCTGGCCAAAAGGAGAGACCTTCTTTTATACTGTCAGAATTTTTTGATGAGGACACACTGATGCCATATAACATGCAAAATGTGCCTGTTCATAAATTGCTGTATTTTTAGCTTGCTTTTCCAGGATGATCAGAGGAGAGATTTGTGTGTGTCCTCATTGGCAAAAGACTAGCAATAAATCCTAAACAAGAAGCGTGATTGCTTTCCAAGAACTTGGCTGCAGAGCAATTGGAAAAAGGGCAGTAGAACAATGAAAAGCATATTTTGAAGGAAAGAAGGTGTCTGTAGTGACAGCCAAAACCCCATGGAGAATATGATTATGGCAACTTCATTAACTAGTGCATTGAATGCAGAATGTAAGGT